TGTGAGTTTGGAAAAATGCACAGTATAAATCTATTCTAGTACACCTCAACAATGGAATTATGATCAGTGGAAATGGCCATGACACCTCTCCTTTAAGAAAATGGCATTTAAAATCAGTCATTAAAAATAAAAGATAATAAAATAAACATTAAAAGAAAAAATACATGGATAAAAGTTACAGTGCAGTTTAAGATGTGAATAGTTCAATTAAAAGCAGCGGCAAAAAGAAAAGTCTTCAGCCTGGATTTAAAAGTAGTAAGAGTTGCAGCGGACCTGTAGGTTTCTGGGAGTTTGTTCCAGATATTTGGAGCATAATAACTGAACGCTGCTTTACCATGTTTAGTTCTGACTCTGGGGACAGAAAGCTGACCAGTCCCTGAAGACCTGAGAGTTCTGGATGGTTCATAATTTAGCACCTAAAACACTTAGCCATTTTATCTACCTCTGGAACTAGCTAAACAAGTTATAAATATATTTATTCTTCACTGTCGGGTCACTCATTACTAGATCAGCGAGCTGCATGAGATACTAACAGGCCGTCAGGAGAGAGAGAGAGGGGGAGAGAGGAAAAGAGAGCGCTTCCGCTCATTTCTCTCGTGTTATTATCCAAAGTGAATGTAATTTTAATAATGTAATAATAATAATTATGTTGGTTGTTGTTTGTGGAAGCGCCAGTGAATGAGCCCCATTAACTGAGTTGTAAACATCACTTTAAATGGAAGATCCCCATAGGCCCCGCCCACTCGATCGGATCGGCGATCGGTATCGGCCGATACTGATTCCGGCAATCGGCCCCAAAATGGGCGATCGGAGCATCCCTAGTTGTTAGGCTAAGGGCCTGCCTGTTTGCAGGTAAGGATTCAATTGAGACTGACAAGAGATTGCATTAGGCTCTGCATTTAAAGAGCTGTGAAGCACAAACTAAAACAGGCACATACAGTATCGGTCACACCGACAATAATGTAACCATTGTCGCCTGTTTTACAGGACAGTGACTAGATAATGTATGGTAAACTACAACAAAAACAAGAAATGATTGCGATATAGGAGCAGAGTCGCGAAGCTAAAGTAAAAACGTACGACTGACAAATATCAGGGTCAGATTTTAGACTCAACAAAAGTAAAGACTTAAAGCAAATTGAAACTGACTGTATTGGATACATGCCACAATGTGGGGTCGAATGTGGCCACTACATTTTGGGATGTCCTTTGCACTCTTCTATATCATGCTGGTTTGCCTTCCTGCTATTCAATTTGAAAGCTTTTCATGGATTCACTGCCTCCATGCGCAAATCCACTGATCACTGTTGAGATTAAATGGATTTGGCACAAAATGTTGCTGTCATAAATGCTGGTGTGATTGTACTGTACAGTAACAACTGCAGTGTTTCCCCTACCATTGTCTTGGAGGGGCGCTATATATATATATATATATATATATATATATATATATATATATATATATATATATATATATATATAGCACCAAATTGCAACTAATCTATATCTACTGTCACTTTTCACATGAACATGTGCTCTTTTATTAAATAAACTAAACGCTTTCATTTTAAATTGTGAGTTTAGTGTTTTTGACCCTAAGAAACACTGATGCATAAATCAATAACAATAATCCACAGCTCCTCTCTCTGCTCCTGAGGATTTAAAAAAAGATATATCCCAATACCCCCCCCCCCCCGCTCAGGCAGCACCCCCCCAAAGCAGTAAACCTAGGGGAAACACTGAACTGTATATTAAGGTCTCCTGATAGATTTGGGGGTGAATCAATGGAAAGGACAGACACCCAGCCCACCTCCCATTCTGCTTTAAATTGTAGATTTTACCCACACCAAGATAATCCAAACCCCTTTGCAAAGCAAGGCATGTTTTACGCCCGCTGCCAGGGGTTTAAACCTCCCCCCGCCAATGTCAGGTCTGTTAGTCAGGCCATTCCCACACTAAGCTGGCTATATTTGAAACAGCATCATGTACTTCTTCATTTTAGCCTTCCATCCAGACTAAACCAGTATTTTCCCACCCAAAAATGGTGCATACTTATACTGTCTCCATAGTGGAACAGACAGTGTTGTTGTGTGGACAGGTTTCATCCAAAAGGATGCTTGCACAGACCCATTGAGGTGCTATGCTTTTTGTCACCATCTCTCTACATGGTTGCTTATTTTGAATGTCAAAATAGAGAAATTCCTAAATTAATTTAGTATTAATACGCCATGTCAGAAGACTTCGTAGGCACAATATATTCAATTGGCAAGTGGTCTTAGATGAGGTAGATGAAGACTGGTGGTAGAAAGATCAAACCATGTATGTCATTCATTTATGTTTTCAATCTGTTGTCTCTCAGAAACAGTCAGAGGGTGATATTTGCTGACAAATGCTGTTGTAAACTCAAGTTATACGTATTGTTCATTTATACAGTTTATTTAATATATGTATTCATTATGTAAATTAATTAATATATGTCCACAGGTAATCAAAAACTACACATGCATATTTGTTGATTACCTGTGGACATATATTTAGTGGACACATCTTTTAATTAAAATAAGTCAACTTCTGAAAAAGACGATATCATTAAGCAAACAGAGACAATGCCAACAAGAACAGTGTTAAATAAAACAAATGTCCTGTAAGTCATATGGGAGTCAGAGTAACATGCTCCGCAGAGCCTTGTCAAGACTTTTTTTTATTTACCAAAGTCTACCCGTAGCATGTCGTCGCCTGTGAAAATATGTGTATTCTTACTCTTTTGCATCAAGTCTAATGTTGAACCCGATTAAAAGCAGTCACGTGTTCAATGGGAGTCTGCCTCTGGTGTGAACATGGCTTCAGTGTAAGCATGTCTGGCTCACACCCCCCTCCCCCACCCCCTGTCTATGAGAGCCACATCAGCCAATTGTCAACAGCAGCTGATGCGTCCTTTCCCAGCGCATCCATCAGAGTGCACACATCCACACACACAACAATGGTCTTCAAACTAATTTGTGCAAACTCATGAGAAGACCCCTGGCTAACGTCTCAATAATCTCTCACACATTATAAAGAGAGACATGACTGTTAGCTATATGCCTCTGCATGTCTAAAGAAAGCTTGTTAACACATTACGTATAGAGACCTGAATCATTCAGTGTTGAACAAATGCCAAATTAAATAGCAGAATCATGTGATAATTCCTCCAAAACACTAGTCTATTGATTATGTTCCAATTAAAAGGCTCTTCGATCTATTGGCCTTTTGGCCTCGAAAGCCTTACGTTTCACAACATGCACTATACAAAGCTTTAACCTTACCAGATGTGCCTCTCTTGGGTTCAATTGTACAAGGAACAAGTATTTAGCACCTCATAACCTGTGTATTATCAGCCTACAGTTCCCGGCACCACCACCCATTCTGTATCAGGCTGGAGAAGTCAAACATTTACCTGAAAATGACTCAGGCTTGGTAAAATCACAAATGCAGAGCTGTGCTAGATACCATCACTAATAAGGAAGTGGGTTGCTTTCTGTTCTCTCTCTCAGATTCTTGGTCAACATACATATGGGTGATGTGACTGTTAGAGGGCTTGCACAACAGTCCTGTGATCGTTCAGGCATGTCTGCTGCTCAACTGAAGTATGGCACTGAAACTCTTAGACCGAAAGGTTAAACTAGTGCACAAAAAAAATAAGATAACTGCAAAACAAATGCATGTGAAATTAGTTTTCATTCAATGATTTGCACCTCTATAAAAAAAGATAAAGTGAGGACTTGCTATACATTAAAATGACGTGCATGTGCAAAGTATGGGGTTGAATTCTAGTGATCTGTGCCTGAAATGGCGTGGGCATGTTTCTTAAAATAAATCTTTACAAATGACACAGTTGAGCAGTGGAACACAGGTCTGCTGCCTCTCACTCATGCGCTGTGCACAGAACAGATGACATCATACTGGGTCAGCTTGGGTTTTAGCGCTCAGCTTGCTATCTACATCTGCCATTTCGAGCGCGTCACGTTAGCCTACATTTACTTTCAACATTGGTTATTTAACCAAGCGATGTCCTGCTGCATGCAGGTGATGCGGTCTTGTAGCATTCACGCATGGAAACACTTAAAAGAGGGAATACAAAAGATGAATGACGCGCGACTGTTGTATTTGCATGGAATGAATGCATGGTAATATAACCATCTAAATCGTGAAATAAAGTATCAAGGATGCAGACAATGTTCGACTGGTTAATGAGAGCGGAGAGACGTAGTACAAATGTAGTGTAATGGGTTCGTGTCATGTGTAGTGGCCGTTACACCGTCTCCAGCGAAAGCCATTGTGGCTGTGTGTTGATAGTAAAATCTCACTCACAACAATGTAGGTAGCAATGGAAGGTACCACAGTCATTTTGGATGAGACAGACTCGCTCGGGACTGTTACACAATGCATGACATAGCCAAAATACTACATGGGAGAAGTTTAAACAGCGTCCAAACGTATTGTCGGCTTAAAAAAACCCACAACTGACACTTCGTTTACAACCTGTCATCCGTTTGCTCTCCATACTCACCCCCTGAGGAACAAACCAACAGCAAAGCGTCTTCTCCGTCAGTTTACGGCGCGACTGTCCTAATTGCAGCGTAGATTTTGAAGCAGGTGCACAAACACATCAATCATCAAACATGCTCTACGTTAAACACCTTTAAAAAGCTAAACCTACGCACTTATAACCCCCGCGAGCTCACGCTGGTTTCTGTACTCACCACGTCTGAGTGGCGTTGAAACAACAAGCCGAACAACGTCGAAACCAGGCGACGGTGGTCATTTTTTAACTTCAGGTGCAAGCCATACTACTCATGTACATCCACTACTGACTGCTTTGACATTTAGCTTCAGTAGCTAAGCCGTAGAGACAAGAGGAAGTGTCATTTTAGTGTTGAGGTTAGCGGGAGCTGGTAACCGTTACGGAAGGAACAAACAGTGACACAACAACAGAAGGGGGGGGGGAGAAATACGCTCACCTTTTGCAAAAGTCGTTGTTGTTGAAAAGCGTACTGACTTCGGGAACATTTAGTCCGACTCTGAAGATGTCCGTGTGACTTTGCGAAGTGCTGTCAGTTGGTGTGGACTTCCTGAATGACGGAGCCGCAGGAGCACAACCCCTCGCCCGCGTTTGACAGCTACTTTGACAGACAAGCGGAAATAAAGTTGTGTCGTTCAGTGACGAGTCCGCTGCAGGATGTGCACAAGTCAAGTGTATTTTCAACAGGAAACACAATTGACTGTTTTGCAAGAATCTTATGCACAATTCATATCTACATGCAAAAATAGACAGGATAACATATGAATCTTCCGTTATCTTACTTGTCATAACAAGTGCTTGTGTTAAAGTAAGGGTACAATAATAGACCGTATTTCCTTTGCAGATCATTAAACATGCATGGACTGAGTCATACCGATTCCGTTGCAACTTCAGTGATGGCAATTCAGGTCGTCTCCTGAATTAAACTAGTGCAATGCTGCCACCTGCTGTTGCACTTTGGAAGTTATATATTTAGAAAAGAAGGAAGTGTTTCTGCAAAATAAATAATAACACCCTAGGAGCGTTATTACGTTGAAGAAACCACTAAACTGTTATTTCTATAATTATATTCTAACATTCTTAGTACATTTTGCACATTTTTGCACACATGTCTGTAAAGCCCTCCACTTTAAAATATAATTAACTTAAGTTTTCCATATATTGCCGTAGCTATATTCATTGTCCAAGTGTTTTAGCTTTTAAGGTTCTTTCTATATTTAAATCTAAATGTTGTGTAAATACTTTTCTTAAGTATTCTTATTTAATACTAAATAGTTTCTTAAAAATACTTATTTTTATTATCTTTATTTTTTTTTTTTACCTACCATTGCAACTGTTTTTTTTAGATTGTTTATGTTCGCACCACCAGACACCAAAGCAAATTCCTTGTATGTGTAAACGTAGCTGGCAATAAACTTGATTCTGATTTTGATTAATAGTGGTTATTCAGTGGCGGAGCCAGGACATTTTCAGTGGGGTGGCCAGGATGGAACCAGTGATCATTTTGGGGTGGCATTGAAATCACTATTATATGAACATAAAAATACATCTCACTATAAAATAAGGGGTTATTTAAGGCACCTACAACACACCTCTACATTATTTGGGATTAAGCTAGTGGTGGAATAGATCAAATAATATCCAGTATATCTAACTATTTTTTTCTTATTCCCGCAGGCAAAGTAACAACGAAGCTTACATTATACAAATGTAGTGCAATATACAGACTGTTTAGCTTATGGTGATCAGCAGCCCTATGAGCTCATTCTCTCAGGAATACAGAGACACACACACATCATTTAAATAAGAGTTTTTAAATTAAATTATTGGTTAAGAATAAACATCTTAAAGTAAATAACAATAAACAATAGCCCTTAACCCTGTAAGGCCCCCAGTTGTAATTTTACAACATTACTTTAAGCTATCCAAAAAAGTCAGTAAATGTTTTTTGTTTTTTTTAAAAGACTACATTTACATAGTCAAAAGGTCCTTTTGTTCAGCCTCACAATGCTATTGGGTAGTAAATGTGTTTATAGGTCCTGCCCTCTGGAGCATACACCCACACAACCAGGGGCGCCGCCAGGGATTTTGGGCCCCATGAAAAGATATCACATTGGGCCCCACCACCAGGCCCAGGCCACGCCAACCAAGCACAATTGCTGTAACCACACCTCCTGTGTGTGTGTGTGTGTGTGTGTGTGTGTGTGTGTGTGTGTGTGTGTGTGTGTGTGTGTGTGTGTGTGTGTGTGTGTGTGTAGATGCGGCGGACAGACAGGTCTCAATTGGTTTGGTGTCCTCTGCTTACTTGTAATACTTGTAAATAAAACTTTTGGCCCGTAATTTCATTTCCTCATTGTAGCGACCAGAGAGAGGGGGGGGGGATATATAGTCTCTGATAGTGTTACGTTATTATGAGAGTGCTCTCATACTTGTTTGATTCTGAAATTGTATATTATATAAATATATGTGTGTGTGTATATGTCCGCATCTGTAGCCTGTTATTGTCTCATTTTATACCGCACTGTCAATGAATTAAAAGTAAATATATAACTCGTCATGAACACATCTGTCCATCAGACAAAGTGCTGCTGTGCCTCCTGTCATCATTAACGGACGTCTCTTTAAAATGACCGCTCATTTCTCTAACCACCTGCTGCTTCCCCTCCTCTCTCCGCGGTTCCCCTCCTCGACTCCTCCGCTCGCATCTCCTGTGGGCGGGACACACAAGGATAGGAGTCGAGGAGGGGAGTCGAGGATGTTAAGGCAAGCAACTTAGAGGTTCACTTCTGAAATAACTGGTATTAGTCATCCTGACACAGGCAAGAGATACTTCATGTATCAGAGAACAGACAGAAAACCCACAAAATGTCACAAGATTATTTTTGCAAAACCAACCAAACTATTATAAATACCCAAAGGGATCTAAAAATGGATTATGGATATACTTCGTGCAGGGATGCTGTTGCTTTTTAACAATGTGCTTCAACATTGTTATACCTGACCAGTGAATGGAAGATGTTTACCGTGATATGATTACACTTGCAATCACCATGTTAGCATCAATCAATCAATCAATCAATCAATGTTTATATAGCCCAATATCACAAATGTTACATTTGTCTCAGTGGACTTCACAGTTTGTACAGAATATCAGTATGAAAATACGACACCCTCTGTCCCTAGACCCTCACATCGTACAAGGAAAAACTTCCAGAGAAAAACCCCACAGTTTAAAGGGGAAAATGGGAGAAACCTCAGGGAGAGCAACAGAGGAGGGATCCCTCTCCCAGGACGGACAGACGTGCAATAGATGCCATGTGTAAATCGAAGAGATAATATGCATAATCTGCAATTTTCCAATCAATTACGCCTGGTAGGTTTGAACTAATGTATCAGTTAAATTACTTGATAAATTGTTGGTATAGAAAGGACATTTTACAAATGTTCTGATGCCTACTGATTTAAAATTCCTTATAAGTGACCGGGTGGAAAGCAGACAGACAGAATGTAGAAATACATCTTAAGGATGTTTATTATAAATAATATCAACGCACAAGGCAACCTGTTGATGCAAATGCAAAATAAAATAATAATGGAGGAAATGTTCTAATCGTTTAAATTCACAAGTTATATAATTGAACCCTTGATGCAACAACTGTGCATTATACAGCTCTTAAACTGTATACTTGATTCAGCAGATGTAAACAATATACTAAAACATTGCATTTGGTTAGAATCTGTCCCCCAATGAATGATTCCGAAGTGTTAAAAGTTATGGTTTGAATGATGATACTGCATATGCATGTACACTTCATATTGATGAACAATACAGGGAATTACAAATTGCATCTGACAATTGATAGGAGGTTTATTTAAGAGCCAGTGTGGGCCAATGGCAAAAGAACACATTTGAAATAAATATTATAATACTTTATACACACAACTAAATAGGTCCTTGCTTTGATCTTCTGAATTACTGATAGGCTAGGTTGAACTTGTTGTAACATGGTCTTGAGGGCCTTATAGTCGATGGTCTGGACCAAGTTATGCATAAATTGCATATTATATATACAGTCTATGATAAATTGCCATGGTGATCTAGCCAGGTTAAAAGAGAGTATTTTCGTAATACGGAAAACTCTCGCTTAAAAGGTCAACATTCCTCGCTAACCCACTATTCTGGCTTCGTAGTAGCTACAGCCCTCTGAGTGTAGATAAACTAGATGGAAAGCGAGCCAGACGGGAGCCAAAACAAAGACACCCGACGGTTGCTGCTGATCGGTATAATGCCTGATGATATTATTTAAGGCAGTTTTCAATGTGCATACAGAAAACACATACATCATGGACTGATATACTGTATTTATTTTAAATGTTTGAAAAATAAAATAAAAACATACATTTTTTAAATGTTACACATTAATATTACAGACATTGTTTACAGGCATAAGGGCAGACAGCTTGATACTCGGAGGTCCTGCCAGTTGTAGGCGCTTTTCCAAGCGAGCTGCAAAACACAAATCGATTGTTTATTTTGTGTTTGTTTACATTTTGCATGCGAACAAATGGCTTCGACTTTGCTGTCGCCTATGGTGGATTATTACAACGATGAAGAAGAACTTGATAGCGTGGAGGACGACGATGACCGGAGTTTCAGGGGAAGAGACTCGGAAGAAGGTAGCGTTTGACGAATTGAGCAAAAACCCCCGATGGGCTCTGTCTACTTGTTGGAAAAGAAACGGAAGCGCGCTTTAATTGCGTCAAATCAGCTATTTTTCAATCTAGCGTTTAAAGTGATCTACAGATTAAGCTGTTTCACATTGCCTCCTAAATTAAATGTTTAACTTCCTGTTCCCCAAGCTGGAAAGCTCGTAAAACGCGAGCCTCACCTACACGCAGTTGGCATGCTAGCTACATAACAAGCTACCACACGACCGCCAATCAAGTATCTGCCGAGTCAAGAAACATTTCAGAAGCAGATGATGGATACTAGCTAAACTGTGTGCAAGCGAATAACGTCTGCTGATGCAACAATTTAACCAACGGTCAAAGATAATGATATCACCGAACATTAGTTGTCATGCTAACCCAGCTAGCCCATCTATACTAACGTTCCCCGTGAGGCACCAATCAGCTTTAACCACATTATTGGGCATATTGCCTCTATTATGTAATAAATTAAAACTGATCAACTCTTACTGCAAGTTTGATTAAACTAACGTTTGGCATGTTACGTCGTTGCTGGAATAATACAGTTTCCTTCAAACATATTCCAAAAGGGATACATAGCGTTAATTAGCCAACCTGCTAAGTAGCGTTAGCTACACGCATTGACAGATCGGCAGGCAGGCGAAACCCTGCGTCCTGTGTCCACGGCACTGCCCTTTTCACACTATTCAGTGAGACAGGACGGATAGCAGTGAAAGAGAAAAGGAGACAACAGGAAAGCAAGGCGATGACAGCACAACAAGGTTAGATAGTTTCCTGACACTGACTTCCGAAGCGAGCAGCTGGACTTATTTCTTCCTCGCACGGGCATGTTGACGGCGGTGCTGCTCCTAACTACGCGAGCTCGAATCGGGTTACTGGTTAAAGCAGACGGGGCTAACTTAAGCTAGCACATTAATGCTAACCGAAAATGAAAGCTGCAGTGTCAGCTTAATGCAACTGGGCCTTAACCTTTTCTCCTGTCCGGTTTTGAAGGTAACACCGACTGGCCTAGGTTAGCCGGTGTTAATAAACTTGGCCCCCAAGTTTGCCACATCGCATTAGCCTTAACATGTTAGCTTTGCCGTGAGAGTTGCCGTTGGACTGACAGCACGGCCAAGTTAGCCGGGGACCGTTTCTGATTAATCTCACCATGCGGCAAATGCGTGACACTCAAACTAATAGCTACATTTCTGTCGCTTGTTACATTAATGTCATTAGATTAAAACTACAAGCGTTGTCTTCATCTTGCTAAACTCCCCGTTGTTGATGCGAAGATAGATAATGTAGGATCTTTCATGGCAAACTTGGATGTTCATTGTCCTATTATTACAAAGAGGGCAATCCCAAACAGGGTGTTCACCATTACCTTACCGGTGCCACGCACGTCCTTTGATCCGAGCAGACATCTGTTGTCTGTCTGGACGTAACCTGTTTGCCTTCAAGTCTTTTTTTATAACCAACTTAATGATTTTCTTGTGGTATAACATGCTGAATTGATTACAACAACAGTCTTTTTTTAGAGGCTGTTTGTAAAGTTAAAAAAAGTTTTATAATTGAGAGTATTCTTCTTCTTTCATTACCTTTTTTCCAGACACGGAAGATGCCAGTGAAACAGACCTTGCCAAACACGACGAGGATGACTATGTCGAAATCAAAGAGCAGTAAGTGCTTTGCTAACCATGGGTCAGCTGTTTTAACATCAATAAAAGTCATTTGTAAGTTAGGTTTGTTTTAATGTTTACAAATTATAGGAAAATATAAAGCCATCTCTGATTTATTTCATTGCAGAATGTACCAAGACAAACTGGCCTCTCTGAAAAGACAGTTGCAGCAATTACAAGAAGGTAATCCATTGGAATTTCCCCCTATAACAGAAGTGTGGCAGGAGCTTTCCAAATGTGCATGACTTCTGCTCTTCATAGTGTGAGATGGGATAAATGTGCTTGTCGGGGTTCATTTTTATTTTGAAGCTATGTGTAGATATAATGCAGCTATATCCCAAATGATTATTCATGTTGATGCTTTACATCATCAGGACACAAAGGCAGTTCAAAAGGCATTTTAAGAGTCGCTGTCTCTGGCCAAAATGAAAAATAAACGGATAAATGGATACAAACTGATGACAAACATAACAGGGAGGCTGTGGCTCAGTGGATAGTGTGCTGGACTTGGAATCAGGGGATAGCAAGTTTGAGTCCCACTGCAGTCAGCATGTCGTTGTGTCCCTGGGCAAGACACTTCACCCCAAATTGCTCCTGTGGGGATTGTCCACAGTACTGAATTACTAAGAAGAACAGTCACTAAGTCACTTTGGATAAAAGCGTCTAACAAATGACATGTAATGTAATGTAATGTAATGTAATAAGCAGTTCATTTTGTTTAATTTATTCTGTGTGTTGATGACTGATTCAAAGTGTTTTTGAATAGTAAGTTGACGGTGTAGAAATGGAGGTGACATGTTGTGTTGCAATTTAGGTGCAGTGACAGTTAAATCTAGTCTAGACTGTGGGTGTACAACTAAGTAATAAAGGATACCTTACCATTCTTTAGTCAATGTTGTAATTCCACATCTTCACATTTGTTTTAAAAACATTCTCTTTTTCAGGTACATTGCAGGAGTATCAGAAGAGGATGAAAAAGCTGGACCAGCAGTACAAAGAGAGACTCCGAAATGCAGGTTAGTGACTGTTCTTTGCTTCACCAAACTTGACCAATTTCAAAAGCTTATGACTACAAAGAGGAAAAGTGTGGCTATAGCAGCATTATACACAACGAGATCAGATTTCCCACATGGCTGCCTTCATAGGATTTGTTATAAACTTGTTCTACAATTACTGCAGTGTTATAGTAGATGTTGTGGTCGACTGTATCCTTGAAAATGATACAGGAGAGTCATTTTCTCCTGCATTTTGTTTAAATTTGAGTCTAACAAACAAATTATTGCTGCCTTTTTTTAAATTTCTGAGGTTTTAAAATAGTAGTTTTTATGTTGTTTAAAAAATAACCTTCATTAAAAATGTCAATTCACAAAACAAATGGAGTGGGGTTCTGTGTTTACATTTAGTGTGTGCTCCAATGTCATGACTGTCCGATTAGGTTAAAAGAACTCGTACTTTTTTGATTAGCAGATTGGATAAATAAAGCGAGCTGTTAGATTAAAAACAGCGTACAATATCATGATTAAAAGTATAGGTTCTACATAGACATCATCAATTTGTAAATGTGCAAGAACAGATCAACATTTCTCAAATTGACTGAGTCATCTTCCTCCCTCTGCTCCAAACCCATTCATCTTCCATCATTTGACAGTTTTAATTATTTTGATTACTTTATTTTGATGTCTCAGCGGCTTTGGTCTGATTAGCTTTTTCCTTTGCCAGCTTTGTGAGCCAGAATATTCAGTGCCTACGTTTTTGCTAATCATAATGACTTGTTTGTTTTGCCTAGAATGCAATGCAACAAGTGCTTTTATGTTAATTGATAACTGCTTAATGTTGGTGTCCTTGCTGTAGACCCCTGTTTCTTCCTGACCCTGCACCTCACTAGGGATGCCAGCGATTATTCGATTTTTCGAATATTCGTTACGGTCTCCATAATCGAAAATTATTTTTAAAATTCGATTTTATTTATATATTTTTTTATTATTATTTATGTTTTTCTTTTTTTGGGCGGCGGCGAATAATCGATTAATATTCGCCAGGGCTGTCCGATTTTCGAATTTGATCATGGTCAGTTTCTGTCATCCCTACACCTCACCCTGTTACCTAGCATCCCCTCATATATATCTATATATATATTTAAAGTCTTGAGAGTAACCATAGTAGTGGTCCAATGTCAGATATAATCAGCGAGTATGATAACAGATGATTTCCTTTCTCTTTACAGATCTCTTTCTCCAGCTTGAGGTGAGTAGTATTCATCCCGCTGACCGACTGATGTTGTTTAAACTTAAATGACCTTTACTTTTTTGGCATTACAAAGAAAACATCCCTGCTTTTTCCATCATGCCCTTCTCTCAACCTTCTGCAGACAGAGCAGGTGGAGAGGAACTACATCAAGGAGAAGAAAGCAGCGGTGAAGGAGTTTGACGATAAAAAAGTGGAACTGAAGGAAAACCTAATTGCAGAGTTGGAGGAGAAGAAAAAGATGATCGAGAATGAAAAATTAACAATGGAGCTGACGGGAGGTATGGGAGTCACGTTAGGATTATTAATTAGAGAAGTGGAAGAGAGAAATGGGGCAAAAAGTTTTGTGGTTGGCAGTGAGATTTGTTCAATGCACACTATAGTTTAAGTTGTCTGATTAATGTAGAACTTTGAGATTCAGTAATTTATCATGTTTCTGTTGCCATCTTGAATCGTCTGTGAGTTTTGAGAACGTTTCTCCCTTATTGTTGGATCTCACTTTTTATTATTTCTTTCATACATAGACTCAATGGAGGTAAAACCTATAATGACTCGGAAGCTGAGGAGACGGCCCAATGACCCGGTCCCAATACCAGACAAACGGAGAAAACCTGCACCAGATATCCTTTTAAATACAGTCTCTGATTGGCTACAGTTAGCAGTCACTTTAGATGAATGTGTGAGGTCTTCAGTATTCAGTTTTACTTGTACTTGTAGCATGTCGTGTTCAAAAATGCTTTCCTTAACTCTTCAAACCTCAGCTAAATTATTTGTTAACAGATGATCAGATAATGGAAGATCTAAGAACACTTAATAAGGTTTGTAGTTCTGAACATCTTGATATTTAGCATTTCCCGAGTGGATCTTATTTTGTCTAATTCTGTCTTTTTACACTTTTTCTTTCACAGCTTAAGTCACCAAAAAGGCCAGGTATGTAAATGCTCACCTTTTGCAGTATTTCATTTTAACTTGTCATGCACAACAAGTTATTTAGTTCATTTAGGGGAATATGCTTACACGTTTTCGAGTTAAATTATGATATCGACATCACTCCCTTGTCTGTACCCAAAATAAGAATTTACAGCAAGCTGTTAGTTAGCTTAAAATGTTAGCTTAAAGTAAGACTTTAGGGGACACAGCTGGCCTTTTAGACTTTTTAGACTTCTAGGCAAGTCTCCCAGCTAAGAAATAGTCAGTAAAAAAAACTTTCATGTCAGCAAAACGCAGATTAGCATATCATCCATAATTTCTCCAAAATATTGCTTTTACTTGTGCCTTGCATGGTCAAACTAACCCAGTGTTTCTCCCCCTTCAGTGTCTCCCACGACTCCAGAGCACGTCCCCTCCGCCCCCATGGAGAGCCCCTCCCAGCGGTACGAGGCTCGCATCGAGGAGGGGAAACTCTACTACGACAAAAGATGGTGAATTTGTTGAACTGTCATTCTCAAAATCTCTCGTGTTTCGCATTACACTGTGCCATTTCTCACATAGCTAGACTACACCTCCTGTCACCACTAGATGGCCACATTGCCATTGGCTGATTTCTTTGATGTTTGGTTTTCAAAAAGAATCAAACAACTTTGATGGCAGACCTTTTTTCTGGGCAACATAAAGATATTTCTTAGGAACGACTGAATTAAGGCTAGTGCTTGAACCATCAAAATACATATTCAGAGAAGCACTCTGCTGTGATGCAAAGAGGAAAATAATGAAAATCCTTGACCAGACACCGCTCGGATGTCCTTCTGTTTGAGAGTAGAGCTCCTCCGCATCAGACGTGAACATAAGGTCGTGTGAAGAAGTAATAGAGTTCTGTCTTTATACGCGGCAGTTAAGAGGAGCGCACTGTGAGGTATGCACACTTCTCTTTCAAGGCAAAGTCTGATTTATTCCTCTCTAAAGAAGACGCCGCCACAGGAAAGCCTTCACAAAGAGCCGCAGAGAGAAACATGCGTCATTATTCTTCAGTGGGCCCTTAATGATCAAGCGTTTTGGTTGTCAGTCTCTTCCCCTGGGTTGGTTTTGTCCTCTGACAGTTTGGAGCCATTAAATGAAAAAAACCACGACTTTTTGTTTTAACTTTCCCATCTAATGATCTATTTAGTGCCATCTCAGGAGGTTTGTGGTCTATTCAGCTGGGTGAAATATGTATAATGAACCTCTCTTCTGTCTGCACTTAAGCCTATCCCTCAAATCTCACCTTGAATGCAGAATTAATTGTGTGTGTGTGTGTGTGTGTCTTTCATGCTGACAGGTACCACAAGAGCCAGGCCATCTACCTGGAGTCAAAGGACAACACAAAGATTAGCTGTGTCATCAGCTCAGTGGGGACCAACGAGGTGGGCTTTAGTCTTCATTTGGCTCCTGTTGCACATGTAACTTATTCTCATATCACTGCTTATAACATGGGGCACATGATATCATATATTTTCTGGGGAGTCACCAATTATGAATTTCTGGGCTGTTTTGTTTTTGAGGGGGTTGTTATTTATTTGTTTTCCCTAAGTATTTTTGTTGCCATTCAATACATCATCTGAGTAAGCACCAATTCAATCAAATAAATTAATGAAACTACTATTAATATAGCCTTCTTTCAAATTATGAATATGTTTTTTAACTACTTCCAAAGCCCCTTTATCCTGCTATGCAACTAACTAAATAACCAACTAACTGACTAAAGATACTGTGGGCATTTCTGCCATGGAGCAGCTCCGATTGTTTCTCTTCTCATCCAAAAACCGAGGAAAACTTAGGTGATTATCTCTACAATATCTGAGTGCACTCACATTTGCAAAGGAAACGTTTCTTACAAACTGTCTATCACCGATATCTCTAGCTCCCACACGGCTGCATTTTCTTACATCTTTAATGGTAAACAAACCACAAGTTTGTTCAGAGGCGTGTTCAGCCAGTGCCCTCTTTTTCAAATCAGTCGATTAAAGCAGCTGCTCTCAAAGTGCAAAATGACATTTAGCAAGCGCAAAATGTATACAACACATAAACATTGGCTTCTGCCATAAGTGAAAGTCATCTTACTCAAACACATTGTACGAGATAGGTGAAGGGTTCAAGGTTCAAGGTTCTTTATTGTCAATCTGACATAGCTACAGAGTAATTATGCAGTTGAAAATCTTATGTCACAGGCTTCTCCAACAATGCAACATAATAACATAACATAATAACAATAAGAGCAAGAGCAATACAAAAATAATAATAGTTATAAAAATGAAATAAAGTTATGATGTGGAATAGTGCAGTATGAGTCTATATACAAGTTATTGGAATGATATATATATATTAGGTATTAGATACATACTACTGAGTAGCAGTTGAATGTTTGAAGTTGTTTCAACAGTTCAATTTTTTAACAGTCTCACTGCCCGCGGGAAGAAACTGTCTCCGAATCTTCTTGTCCTTGCCCGGATGCTGCGGTAACGTCTGCCAGACGGCAACAGAAAGAACAGTTTGTGGCTGGGGTGATGGGGGGTCTTTGATAATCCGTAGTGATTTCTTCCTGAGCCGCTGGGAGTAAAGGTCCTCCATGGATGGCAGCTCCGTCCTGGTGATGTGCTGTGCAGTTTTCACTACCCTCTGTAAAGCCTTACGATCGAGGTCGGTGCAGCTGCCGTACCAGGCCGTCATGCTGCCAGTCAGGATACTCTCTATCGTGCACCTGTAGAAGTTGCAGAGTATCCTGGAATCCATTTTGAACCTCCTCAACCTGCGGAGGAAGAAGAGCCGCTGTCGAGCTTTCTTGGTGATGGTGGTGGTGTGAAGAGACCATGTCAGGTCCTCAGTGATGTGGACCCCAAGGAACCTGAAGCTTTTGACTCTCTCCACCGTAGTCCCATTGATGGCGATGGGGGCGTGTCCCTCTCCCTGCTGCTTCCTGTAGTCCACAATCAGCTCCTTTGTTTTGCTGATGTTGAGATGGAGGTTGTTCTCCTGGCACCAAGATGTCAGGTTTTCGACCTCCTCTCTGTACGCCGTCTCGTCATCGTCTGTGATCTGGCCGATGACGGTCGTGTCATCAGCAAACTTCACGATGGTGTTGGAGCTGTGTGTGGCCACGCAGTCGTGGGTGAACAGGGAGTAGAGGAGAGGGCTGAGCACGCAGCCTTGAGGGGCACCGGTGTTGAGAATCAGGGTGGAGGATGTGATATTTCCCACCCGCACTGCCTGGGGTCTGCCCGTCAGGAAGTTCAGGATCCAGTCGCAGAGGGCGCTGTTGAGCCCGAGGTCTCTGAGCTTGATGGCCAGCTTGGAGGGCACAATGGTGTTGAATGCTGAACTGTAGTCAATGAACAGCATTCTCACATATGTGTTCCTGTTCTTCGGGTCCAGGTGTGAGAGGGCAGTGTGGAGGGTGAGGGCTATGGCGTCGTCTGTGGACCTGTTTGCTCTGTAGGCAAACTGCAGGGGGTCCAGAGATTCAGGGAGGGAGGAGGTGATGAATAATTTGACTAACCGCTCAAAGCACTTCATTATGATGGAGGTGCGTGCTACTGGGCGGTAGTCGTTGGGGCAGGTGATGATTGTCTTTTTGGGGACAGGAATGATGGTGGAGTGTTTAAGACATGTGGGGACTACAGACTGCAGCAGGGACCTGTTGAAGATGTCTGTGAACACCTCTGCCAGCTGAACTGCACACACCCTGAGAACACGGCCAGGGATGCCATCAGGTCCAGGAGCCTTGTGTGGGTTAACCCTTTTAAAGGATTTACACACATCTGCCCTATTTAAAACAAAAGGGCAGGGCTCCTGGTCCCTCTGTACCTCCACAGCCCGGCTGCTCTCAAAGCGTGCAAAAAAACTGTTTAGCTCATCTGGGAGAGATGCGCACGCAGACACTCCCGCAGCACCCCCCCGCTGCTCCTTTGTAGTCAGTCATTGTCCTTAGTCCCGCCCACATATTCCTAGTGTTACAGCCTTTGAAGTCAGATTCCACCTTCTCTTTGTACTGTCTCTTTGCATTTTTTATTGCTCTCCGGAGATCATACCTAGACTTCCTGTACTCCTCCAAATCTCCCGCTGTGTGCGCGAGAGTGCGCGCTTTCAGTTTGCCGCGCACCTCACCGTTTACCCAGGGCTTTTGATTTGGGAATGTCCGTACAGAAACCTTCGGTACCACGTCATCGATGCATTTCCCAATGTAGCAGATGACAGTGTCCGTGTGTGTGTTGATGTTATTGTCCTCAAACACACTCCAATCCGTAGATGCAAAGCAATCCTGCAGTGCTGAATCTGACTCCTCGCTCCATCGTTGTACTGTCCTTGTTATCGGTCTGTCCCTTTTAAGTTTCTGCTTGTAAGCAGGTAACAACAGTAGTGAGATATGGTCTGATTTGCCGAAGGGAGGGCGAGGGAGAGCCTTATATCCATTCCGGAAAGGAAAATAAACATGGTCCAGTATGTTTCCCCCGCGCGTCGGGAAGTTGATGTGTTGGTAATATTTTGGCAAAACCTTCTTCATGTTGGCGGTGTTGAAATCTCCGGCCACAACGAACGCCGCATCTGGCCGTGAAGTCTCGGTTTTATCAATAAACCCAAACAGCTGATCGAGTGCCGTGTTGTTGTCGGCGAGTGGCTGCGGCGGGATATACACTGCTGTTATCACAACAGATGTGAATTCCCTCGGCAGATGGAAGGCCCGACATGAGATCATGAGGTGCTCTAGCTGTGCGGAACAGTCCGATGAAATAATCTTCACATCTGAGCACCAGTTGTTGTTAGTCATTACACACACACCGCCTCCCTTACTTTTCCCCGAGTTTGCAGTCCGGTCCTGACGAAAAATAGAGAATCCGTCAGGGACAATAGCGGAGTCCGGGATAGCGGGGTTGAGCCAAGTCTCAGTGAGAAGAAGGGCGGGACATCTCTAAGCTGTTGACCTATAATAACAGCCGGCTAGCTAACCAATCAGAGCAGACTGGGCGAGAAAAGCATTAGGAGAAAAATAAAGACCTTTTTGAACATTAAAGCATGTAAACATGTCACAGAAGATGCTTAAAATACAAATATGAACCTTAAAAAATTTGCATAATAGGGCCCCTTTAAAATGACTGCATCCCTAACATTTTCCCGATTGTTAACAAATGCCATGAATGTATACTAACAACTAAATGTTGTCTGTGTAGCCAAACAATACATATTTAATTCTGTTGCATGGGTAACATGTTCCCTCATTATTATGAACACTCACACAAGTGTATTTGGACTAAATCCTGTCCTGCTGCAGCAAATACTCACCAGAGCCCCAAATGTCTATAAATAGTCTCCAACAAAATTCACTATTGACTCCTTTTTGAGTCACATTTGTCATTGTTAGTTTTGGTGGAAGGGGTAGACAATAATAACAGCAAGACATACCGACCACAGATTTATTTGACCAATGTTTGACTAGTCACACTACTAGTCCCCCACTCTATTCAACACAAGAAAGAAAGAAAAACCGCTGAAAAAAAATTGCATGTTTCTGAGGAGCATTCTGATATTTATTTTATCTCGTATTTTTCATGGATGTGGTTTATATTGACAGCTGCTTTGCAACTAATTTATTTCTTAATGACTGCATTGAGACATTTTCTCTCCTTTGTTTTCCAGATATGGGTGAGGAAGACGAGCGACAGTACAAAGATGAGGATCTACCTGGGTCAGCTGCAGAGGGGAGCGTTTATCATACGTCGAAGGTCGGCTGCATGAAACATCGCCCCGCCTCTCCCCATCTGTCCATTCATCCATCCATCCATCCATCCATCCACCCGCCTTCCTTAATGGTGCATCTCAGTTTTACTTATTCTTCATCATAGACACTACCCCCTTATGACACAAACATACACACACAGTCTTCTGTGATCAAGAACAATTGCATCTGTTTCCTACAACCAAATGACAGTACAGTTAAAGTTGTCATAACTGACTGCTTTCCAGCATTATTTGTCACTATGTGGCATGTGTGTGAAGTGGTCATAACAGAGCCTGCTTTATTTCTGTCTCATGCTGTCAACACAAATGTTTTTTTAAAACACACATTGTCATTTACCTTTTATATATAAGTTATTTTTCCATATGTTGTTGGTCAAGTGGCCCCGCAGAAACTGTCTTCAAGCTTTTAAAACTCTCTAATGTGATGTGTAACTGGACTGAGACACAAATTAAGAATTACTTCAGGTTTATCATGAATCATGTGACCGACAGTTTTTCCCTACACCAGGAGTCATGCCATTTACAAAAGAATATGTCTTTTGCACTGTCATAAAAAAAACGGCATCTTGCTATGCTGATGTTCTTTTCCCTAATAACTTGTTCAAAAGCCCAATGTATTAAAACCCCAAATTTCTTATTTGAAAATGTATTTTATGGATATTCTGTTATTTCTTTGCCATTGTATGCGATCTCCTCCATATGTGAACCATCTGGAAAAGTTCAGCTGTATTTGCATGTGGAGCGCTACGTTGACTGCTGATTTCTACTGTGTTCCATTTTATTAAAATGTTTTCTGCATTTTATTAATTTGATTAAAGATTTGTTGCTTTTTTTAAATCTTGAATTATGCAAGAACAGGTTTGCTGGCTTTAAGTCAGTCATGGTAATCAACATGTTACTGTTTACTAGATATTACGTGTGCCGTTCAGTGCTGAGAAGCAAACATTGGGTTTCTAATGCTTTTTCGCTGAAGGGAGTTTGGAAAAAAATAGTTAAAACATTAGAGGGACATTCAAAATGAATTTTTGCTATCTGAAGTGCTTACTAACACAGAAACTACAAAATAAGGCAATCAGTTTTTTCATCAGATTCCATCGGAAAACATGATTTTCAACAAGCTACCGGTACAGATTTGGCTCACCTTATGACATAATAGGCTCATTCGAATATACCGCTCTCCATCTTGGTATCTAAATGACTTTAGATTTCTATGAAGTGCTTTTACAGGTGCTCAAAGATAAAAAATATCAAACTCACAACATTGAACACTAAAAAGGGGAGTTTTTATCAATGTTTTGACGGGAGGTGAGTGTTTTTGATGTCATTTGGGGTTGAGTTCCAGAGGGAGTGGGCAGCAATAGAGATCATTGATGATTAAACCTAATATGTATGAACTTGAAATTTGCCCTTAAAGCTGTGGTCAAGAAAACGTATTGACTGTTTATTATGAGCAATCTGCTTCCTATACAAGTCATTCTGTGATAATCAAAACATTGATAATTAGGTGCTTTAAATGAGCAAAGATCTGTATATTAAAAAAACCTTTCCAGAAAAGCAAACAGTTCCACAATGTTATCATTGCACGCTCATTGTAAAGCTTTAACACTTATGGTTATATCCTAAAATGTATCAACATCGACAGCAGGGTAAACCAGGATATATTTCACACTGATGGTTCATATAACCTGTGAGGAATATTTTTCCACAATACATTGATTTGCCAGTCTCCATATAATCAACCTGACCAAGTCACCTCACAGCTCCACTCCACTCTCACAGCTGCTCTCCTCCACCCCCTCCACTTTGTAAACATCTGAATTATTTGGCATTCAGCGCAGGTTTCTCCCTGCCGGCTGTGCAGCCTGCCTTTTTCCTCTTGTGTGTCCTATCGCTTTTACCGGATGGCATGTTTCACTTCCCCTGACTTAATGACACTGCCTGACAAGGAGGGCAATTACTGTTTTGCCATGCCGCACAAACAACAAGGCTCATCTCAAAAGGCTTGTTGTCCAAAAGCGGTCAGGTATGATTGCTCAGTCTCTTGCGGTGGCATGAAATGAGCTGATAGTGAATGCAATGACTGTCTGCTCCCTTTGTTACATCCCATGTCTGGCTTTTAGTTAAGGCTAGAATAACTCACAGGCATTTATTGGTAGGTTTACAGGGTTTGGATTTCTTGTGAGTTGTTTGGCAGTCATCTTGATCTGAAGGGAGGGGGGGGGGGGGAGGGGTGGCACAGAAACATAGAAACAAATAAATAAAAGTAATGGTGAAAACAGTTATAAAACAGTAATAGCATCAAAGAGAATACAATAATAGAAGGCACTAGTTACATTGAATTTACACATTTGCAAAGTTACAGAATGTGCAGGTAGTACAAACATTTTGTCATCATTAATCTGTCTGTCTGTCATGCTATTTGGAGCAACAAATAAAAGCAAATTATTGTTAAATAAATCAGAATTTATTTATTTGGCCTTCATTTATTACACCGAATACACAATGTAACTTATGTAAATGTAAATTATGTACATTTTTATTTTCGCTACAAACCCAAGCTCAATTTAGCTAATTTTACATTTTAAATGACAATTTAATCCCCGTCTCTTATCTCCCTTATTTGAACGTGCCTCATCAGGATAATTTCCTGCCAGTATTTCACCACAAATAGGGAAAAAGGTTGGCAGTTGCCTGTTTTTTATGTTTACCTGAATGGGTTTACTCCCACTTTCCTACACATACAGACAACACACATTTAGGTGAAGTGTCAATTATCCATTTCACTGCCTTGTAATTTTCACATGTAGCAGCAGCTCTGGTTCTCCCCTCTCCACATGCCCACTTTTCAAGCGATCCATTTCTTGCTCGTTGATTGTATCAGTCCTCTGCTTTCTCTGCAGGTTGCTGTTTATACTGTCTTAAATCAATATGCTGAGTAAGCAAAGGAACGAGTGGGAGCACTTGAGCATGTAGACAGCTCTCTGGTGATGAATCAGTTTTTTCCTTTCTTTCTCAGGCACCATGTCTGTTTACCAGAGTGTGTAAAACACCTGCTGATGCTCACCATGTGGAAAACAAAAGCAAGCTCTGCAGCCTTCTGTAACCACGAGTCATTACAGCGCTCTGGCTGTGCTATTGGTGTGCTGGTAAGTCTCACTGGAGCTGTTATTCTCTTTGGTGGTTATTGCTTGTGTGCATAAAAAGTCACCCAGGGCATCAATAATAAAAAAACAAATCCCACTCGCAATCTCCCACCAGTTCCAGCACCAAATTCCCTCTTTCATCCTCTTTCCCCTAAATTGAGCATTCTCCTCACTGCATGTTAGCACTTCGAAGCATAGCTACAGGGCAGAGAGCTGCATCTCGCTCTGCGCTATCTGCTGAGAACCGAGTGGGATCCAGGCACACTCAGATTTGCCTCTGGTGGTCTGAAGAAAGGATGGTAGCTCCTTGACAACCCTACCAGGCCGTGTGTATGTGTGTTAAATGTGAATGTGGGTGTGTAGTTTATCACTCTGCAGCAGGTCTGCACTGGAAGAGGAATTCATTTACAGTACAAGCTCCTCATCTGACTCTTGATATTCGACCCAGCGGTTATAGAATAGTCGCAGCCTCATTGGACCATTTGGCAATATTGATCATTTTAAACATTCATGTGGTTATCCAGCTCCTGCTCATTACAAAACCAGGCCGTGGTATGAGTTATTTATACGCTCTGCGCTATTCTGTTTAGCTGCTCTTTTGATGTTACATGCTAAGAAAGCAGAACATAAGGCAGAACAATGCTAAATAAATCATCCATCTTGTAGGCCAGTGTGCTAGCTTCTGAAGATTGGTATACTGTATTATTGAGAAATCCCACTTTTATAGGGGTTGACAGGGGCAAACGCACTATAGCGGCCAAAAACATCAGGAGAAATTAGGAGAAACGCGCTGCACTTTCGAAAGCAATGCAAATGTAAAAACATAAATGTGCCAAAACACATGCAAATGGGAAAAAATCTTCACCAACTTCATAATAGGGTTTACTAAAAGCACTACATAAATGAAAAGCTGCAAATAAAAAAATGCTGCAAGAAGCTCAAAACCAACACACTCTCAATCCCTAAACGTCCAGGAGCGACGCTTGGTCAGGGTCCCGTGGCGTGCAGTTGGGACGCGCCGAGTCTCCTTCAGCTTCATAAACGGACGCAAAGAGCTTTCAACTGATTGCAATGTATTCCCATCGGCGGCGATATTTGACGCTCAGGGAAGCACCGCATCGGTCCATGTCGGCGACATTGAAAGGCAATGTGAGCGTCCATTCCCATTGGATAACGGAGGATTTTACACCCGGAAGTAACTATTCTCCTTACTGTCGATTGATTTTACAGTGATATCTGCAATACTCATCAACTCAAAAACACCAGATTATCCTTGTTAATTACACAACATTGATTGGTTTAAATTGTGTGCAATGCTTTTGTGTTTTTCCCCTTCGATTCGGAGAAACAAATATTTTTTCTGAGTTTAGGATGGCAGAAGACACTACACTACCCAGAATCCTCAGCTATCGTTTGGGACTACACCATGTGCTTTGTTTGACAAACCCCGTGATTAGTTCTCAAGCTCTGTGATTGGACGTTGGAGTGGCAGTGCGCGAAGTTTACACCGCATCAAACAGCACTTTGAAATGGAATGAAACCCATCGATGGCACACTATCCAAATCAAGACTCGAACGTGTCCTTTATACGTGTCCTATAGAGTGGCGAAGTCACGCCCATCTACTTCCGGTCCATGGGACCTTATTTCGGAAAAATAATGTATTGAAGTCAATGGAGAGAGAAAACTTATCTTTCGATCCCGTTTGAATTGTGCCATGAATTACACATATGATGTTTGTCAATCTTAAAAAATCATTTCCATGTCAAAAAAGTCACAGTTTGTCGTAAAACTGTTGAAATATAAGACTATGAAAAATACGCAACTAGAAAGACTACAAATCCCAGAGTCGCGTAAGTGATGTCACAATTGTTTTCCTCCATTAAAATAGAGATAGCTAAGATAAGATAACGCCATATAGATAGAATCTATCTATATGGCGCTGGCTAAGATAAGATAACTTTAACAAGATGCCTGTGTGCTTAGTACCAGGTTGTTATCATACCAGCAATGGGTCTTGCTCGTTCTTTTGCTTCCCGTCTGATGAAAGGACCAGGAGTGGCTTGATCAAGTTAGCTACCTAGCACGTTAGTTAGCATTACAGCCTTGTCATTTTTATTAGCCTTAACATGAAGTAACATTAAGTAACCCAAAATGTTAAACAGTAAGAGTAGTAGTCATATTTCGTGAACCCTTTGAAGAGTACTGTCACCGGTGTGGTCATTCTATAATACACAATTTAAGCCCGGGGGAGAAATGCTAACGCTAACGCTAGCGATCTTTTCTACTTCATGCTATCTGCACAAATGGTTGACATTAAACATTAAAACGACCAGGCAGTTCAGAGAGAATCAAAGGAAGGCAGGCAAGCAGCTTTGCATGACATTCTTCAGGACGTGTTTCATTGTGGTGATAGTGAGGGTAGTCAATCGTTTTGTTGACAAGACAGTAGTGACGGCCATCTTGGTGACGTGTGTTGTTGACCAGAGATGTAGTTCATTGAGCGTTTCACACAAACAAATGTGTTACTTCACAGTTTTACGACACATTTTTATTTTTTGACTTGCAAAATTATCTTTTAAATTGACAAACATCATATGTGTAATTCGTGGCACAATTCAAACGGGATTGAAAGATAATCTTTCTCTCTCCATTGACTTCAATA